AGCAAGGAAATCCAGATTGTCAGAAGCTTCATGGTGTTCGTCGTTTCTCCGGTAGACTTTTCACTACTGATTCTGTTCTCTGCCAATTTCCGCCCCCTGTTCCTTCCTCCTTTGCTCTATTTATAGGGCATCCTTCAAGCCTTCCAAGAGCAGTTAACACGACCGCTACCACGTTCTACGTGCGTATGGCAGTTTATCTTCTATAGTTTCCCACGTTCTCACGATCTCCGACTTTTTCCCATGATTTCAAAACTGCTCTTTATACGTGCATTCGACTTACTTCCTTTCACGATTTGGCCAAAGTCTCGATGTCCACATTGGCTTTCTTTACTCTCGATTCTGTATTTTTTGAGAACTTCGAATTGCTTACGATTCATTTTTAACCCTGGTCTTATATGACTTAGTTTTTATTCGACAACAGTCATTTGATTATTATTCATTCGATTCTCGATTGTGCTTCTCGATGCTATATGCTACGTATTTCTAATTAGACATCGAATGAATTTTTGTTTATCTTATCGAGTCACATTTTTTTCCTTCGATTTCAATCGTTTTTCTCGATTTGCCACTAACGGATACATAATTATATTTAAAAAATTGAGATGGATAATTTAAGATTTAAAAAAATTATATAACTCTTATGTATAGACGAGATTAAGATGATTTCGATATTAAGTTAGATTTTAATTTTAAATTAAAATATAATAAGTGAAAAAATAAAATTATTAAATATAATAAAAAGAGTACGTGATTATATCTTTTTCCCTGATAATTTAGAATGGGTGTATATAAATTTTCAATAATTTTTATTACGTTTTTTCAACTAGTCCTTGAACGTGTATTTGTTTTTTAGTTGGATATATCAAACTGTTATTAAAAAAAAAAAACTTGTTCTATAGTATCATCTCCTATACAGGTTGCAATTGACAATTTCACATCTGTATAGGTTCTGAAACTAGTTATTGATTAGGGTTTTCAATTAATGCAAGTTGACTTAATTTAAGTATTCTTTGACAAGTTTATTCACTCCAGCTCTCATTGTATCAATTTTTTTATTACAATCTCACCGAATTGACTAAGCACAATTACTTTTTTTCGTAACAACAGTTAGACAAGAATGGCCCTAATAAAAATAAATAAAAGTTTAATTAGTTAATTGAAAAAAAAATTCAATACCTAATACAAAAATGTAAAAATTCAAATATCTATGGAGTACTTTTATCCTGAAATGTTGAGTATTTTAAGAAATTATATTTTGGGTGCTTGTAACCCAATATTTTATGACCATCAACTTGTTTTGACATGTCAAAATTCAATCCATCGTTTCATGACCCACCTTAATTTATCCATTATAAATTGTGTTGCATGAATGATTTTCATAATATGATGTCAAATCACTAGGAAAGTCATGGAATAAAATAATTTTAGAAGACACTTAGAATAAAAATTGAATAAGTAAAGTCAACTTTGATTAATGGAGTAATGGCAGGCAAGTGGATGATAAAGTTATACATGAAGTTCTTTGGATGCTTGAAAAGCAAAGACATGTAATAGACAAAGCGTTCAAAGTTTTTTTAATTTTGTGTAGTTGATATTTACACAGATTAAATTATTTGTGAACCACACAATTTTTCTTTCTTTCTTTTTGTATTAGGGATGTTTATCAATTCATTCTATATTGGATCAGAAAATTAAGAACTAACATAAAATACAACAAAAAAAACTATCAAATAAAATTATTGAGTTTCAGTCTTATCGGATTTATCTAGTTATAATGATGAGAATTTACCATGTATTTAAATTTATTCATTTATTAATTAAATATTACGGTAAAAAATATTTATGATTTAAAGATATATAACATATAAATGAGTATAATTCTCATTTTATTAATTAATTTTGTAAAATTGAGTTAATTATTTCGTAATTTCTAAAATTATATTATAATTAATTTTAAAATTGAGGGTAAATTGTGATGAATTTAATCACCTTTTTACTAGATTAATATTTAATCACTTATTATTGATGTGAGGAAGAATTTGATAAAAAAATATTAAGTTGTAGTGAAAAATTATAAATCGATTAAAAATATGATAATATTATATTAGTAAATATAATCTTTATTTTACTAAATCGATTTTATAAAATTGAATTAGGTATCTATTATGTATTTATGTATATTGTGTATTTATTTTTTCAAATTTTGTGTCTAACTTAATATATGAAATGCATATATGTAACTATGTTATGAATTTAATAATATCAATGTGATATTTCAAGTTGAATCATTTTGTATATTTTTATTATTTTAAAAAAATAGTAAAATCTAATTATCATTTTAAATTTTGACTTTAAAATAAAAGGAAATGAAAGATTTTAGAACAAAATTATAATCAAAATATTTTATTTAATCAATACAGTCTACAGAAACTTTGATTGCTAATCATGAAAAAAATATATAATCGTGGAAGTAATTTAATAACAATTTCAACTAAACAATGTATTGACATGTAATTAATTAGTCAATCATTAATTATACTTTTTGTAATATATAATGTTAATATATTGATCATTTAGTTGTTTTAATATATTTTTAACATAAAACAACATCATATAAGTTTATATATAACATAAACTCATATATAATAAAAAATTTATTTTAAAAAATATGAATGAGGTTAATTTTTGCAAATATTCCCTAAATCTATATCTTCGTTCTATTCATCACTACATCACTAGTTGATTTGATTTTAATTAATGTATTATAGTAGAATATAAGAAGCAATTAAATGATTTTATCTTTACCTCTTTTTCCTACTCAACTTTCATGTATTTCTTAATTACGAATATTGTAAGATTATTTTAGTTTTAAAAATAACAAAATACCATAAATGTTTTGTTAAAAAAAATTAATAATAATAATAATAATTACGCACTCACTTACTCATTTCAATACTACATTATCAAAATAATTTATTTATTTTTTTTCAAATTGTTCATTATAGTCAATCTTTCTTCTTTTTTTTACTGATAATCTCAAAACATATTATTAATTAAAATGGTAGGCTAATAAGGGATTTTAAATCATGTCAAATCTACAACCGCATATTAGACTAACCAATTTTTAAACTTTTTACAAACTAAAATGGTTTTTGAAATAAATAACAATAATCGATTATCATATCATATCCCTCAGCTAGGATAAATTTTATAATGCCAATAAATTTTCAATTTTAATATATGTTTTTTTTGCTGAATATTATTTTAATGGTACGTTCTCTCGTGTATAGTAAAAAAAATTAATCACTATTAATTATATATTTATTCATTAAGCATAATTAGCGAGGGCATAAATTTAATGTTCCACATAAATTTTATTTAGGACCCAAAAATACATTAAAAAGGTGTGTTGGTATTTATTTACAAATTTTTTGGTTTTAGTCTCCAAAAACATTAATCAAATAAGAATTGTAGTATATTTAGACAAATTTTTCATAAGAAAATTTATATATTATAAAAGTGTGTGTGTACAAATTTTCTTAAGAAATCAATAAATATTTTTTATTGAAATTAAACTGATTTCTATATAAATTAAGAAATAAATATTTTTTATATGGAAATATAATTGCAGACACGGGACCTATCAATTAATAAAAATGGACCAGAAAGAAAGCAAAGGCACATGTTTATTTATTATTATTATTATTATTATTATTTTAGGTTGAATAAAATGTGATTTAATATACAACAAGTCAAAATAAAACTAAAAATTTGGTAAACATCTATTGTAACCCAGTTTTTATGTAGTTTGGGAATTAATGTTAACCTAATATGCTTTATTTGTTTATGCTTAGAGCATATGGGTCAAATGTTGCAAAAGTAAAATATTATATTTGCCAATTTATTTACAATTTATCTTTATGCTTTTTTATATATTTTAAGCAGTAATTAATTTTATTTTTTAATACAACAATAAAGTTTGTAAAGTATAAAGAGTAACCAAATAACCCATTTAAAAATTAAATTAATTAAATAATGAAATATATTTTAGTATTAAAAATTAATTCAATTATTTATCTATTAAAATAATTGAGACTTTATATATTTTTAAAATTAATTTCTAACAATATTATATAAATATCAATAAATCAGAGTGGCGCAGCGGAAGCGTGGTGGGCCCATAACCCACAGGTCCCTGGATCGAAACCAGGCTCTGATAAAAGAGTAGCTTCCGATTTTTTTAATTATATTGATAACTATAATGGGCCGACAATGTTACAGTACAGCCCAAATATTTATATGGCTTTATATAATTTTTCTTTTTAGCCAATTTTATTTTATTCTATTAAAAAAACTCGTTAATAATAGAAAAAAAGAAATAATTTGTTAAATATTAGTTAAATTTAATTCTTACTTTAAAATATATTATCTTTTAACCTCGATACTCCGCTCATGTTAATAAATATATTTTATTCAAAAGAACAAGTTGTTTTATGATGTTATTTTATCGAAGAATACACAATTTTTTTTTCAGATTTCTTTTAATTTGTCAGGACTAATGTAGCCAGCAATATATTTTTAATGAGCTAAATCAGTAGAGAAAATTATTTAAACAATGATATAAAGTTAATTATAAGATTTACAAAATGAAGATAAATATTTACATAAAATAAATTTAAATTTTGTGCAAAATGTTTAAATCTATATTTAAATTTTAGTTCATCATTATAAACAACTAGATTCATGATGGTGCCATAGATTAAGGATTAAAATAATCTTGATTATGGTAGGACAACAAATTTAATTACGTATCACTTCTATTTATAATCTCTGTATATTAATAATCAATATATTGAACCATGAATTATGAAATTAGTCGATGAAGATTTAAGTAAACCGACCCGGCCCAGGAAGGCCCAGGCCCATTCGGAAAACACCTTGCCGAATTGAAGGGTCCCAATGGCGCGTCGCGCAAGAGATGAGGTAGAACAGAGTAGAAGATGAGAGTGATGAAAATGGCAGCTACCATTAACCTCTCGTTGTCCCTGCCCCTCGCCTCCCTCTGTAGACACCCCAACTTTCTGAACTCTCGAACAAGCATTTTTCAACAGGACCACGTAAACAGCCTCAGAAGAAGGACGAAATGGAACCGCTGTAACATCAAAAGAGGAGGGATCGTATTCGGGTTGCCATTGCCGGTTGATCCATGGGCACCCACCATTGATTCCCAGAGCATCGCTTCTCAGCTTTTCGCCTTCTCTTTGTTTCCCTACATCGGATTCTTGTACTTCATTACCAAGTCCAAGACCGCTCCAACCCTCACCCTCTTTGGCTTCTACTTCTTGCTCGCCTTTGTTGGCGCCACAAGTCAGTTTCTCTCTCTCTCTCTCTCTCTCTCTCTCTCTCTATATATATATATATATATATATATATATATATATATATATATATATATATACACACACACACACACACACCTTTCTTTGCTGCAATTGTAATAGTCTCTCTGACTTCCTATGTTTTCAACCTTTTTTTACGGCGCTGCAAAATTTAACAGTACCAGCTGGGATTTATGGTGAGTTTTAAGTTAATTTGTTGAAAATGATGCTCAATTTGATGAATAAAAACGATGGATGTGTGATTTCTCTTTGCGTGTTGCCACAGCGAAGGTGCATTATGGAACTTCTTTGTCCAATGTCGACTGGTTACATGGCGGGGCTGAGTCTCTTCTTACTCTGACTAACTTGTTCATTGTGTTGGGCCTCAGAGAGGGTCTAAGAAAAATTGGAAACTCACAAGAAGATGAAACTTCATCTACTCCTAACTCAAGCTTGGAGGAGTAGAAGAAGGCACTTAAGTTGCGGGTTTAATATTTGAAATCATTTTGTTGTCACTATTTGATGAGACCTCCTGCACTCATCACTGTTATTATATCATTGCAGCCTCGTGAGCCGTTCTTGTGAATAGATGGATATAAATGCTGGAAATTTGTGTAATTAAATCTTTAATTGGAACGGAATCTTACAGAATTTCGGCCAGCGTATCCAATTTTGATGTATAATATTTTATCTGTTGTTCCCTTTAACGCTCGTCAATAATGTTTTAAAAGCTATTTTACAATATTGATTTATTTTCGAGATGATGTAATCTTGTAACTTAATTTGGTTGGTTAGTTGTTCTTTGTGACTACTATGGTCTCGTACTAAAGATGGGGCTTGGAGGTTGTACCAAATACCAATGCATATTTGGAGCACCTATTAATTTGAAAGTACATTCCACTAATTGCTAAACAGTGCCAAAATTGTAATTCTAATATTGACTACAAGGAAAGACTTTTATAAGTGCTTCAGTTGCTGATTCTTTATTCTACAATTCTACTGCTGTCTGTAATATTGACTACTGCTTTTTGTTCCGTTTATAGTGCTATCAGGAGAAAAATCCGGGGCTGTTGAAAGGGAAATTTGGGTCAATTTCCACTGGATCAAGCGAGAAATTGAAATCGGGAATTGGAGAATTTGTAGCTGATGTGTTGGTGGAAATGATCTCATTAATATCTGATTCTGAATAAGGCCTGTTGTAGATCCCATCAAACTCATTCATCTGGAAATTTGGAGATGGGAAATAGTTTGATTCTGGTGTTGTTGGAGATAACAGGTGTGTTTGGCATTGGTCGCTCAAGAAGCACTCATTCTCTAGGGTCAAAGGAATCAGGCTGTGGTTGTCTTGGTTGTCTAGGGTGGAAGGGAAAGTGAAAGGATATGCCATATCTCCATTGTCCAGTTTATCTGTGCTGGCAGATAAGATGTTTCTGAACTTTGTGAGGTTTTCTTGTGATGCCTGTACATGGTGAATGTCAATGTTACGACTGTGTGGCTTCTCTTGTTTGTCTGGTGACTTAGGTGGCAAAACGGCGTTGTTTCCTTGAGAACAGGTATGCTTTCCCCTGTAGGTTATGTCAAATATTTTAGGATCTTCATCTGATCTTTGCACTTGCTTCGTGGCCCAACAGCCCTGAGTGTTGCGAAAGGTGCACCTATAGTAACTTCTGCAAATGACACAATGGATTGTGAGTTAGAAGCTGGCCTACGTCAAGAAAATTTTATCCTTAACTAATTTTATCATTATCTTTTTAAAGCATGATTAAGCGAAATCCCCTCACCTGGGATATTTGGCCCCGAGGATGTCCTTCTGACCATATTTTCTCCAGTTGTAGCCATCTTCTTGTGGTCCTTCAAGACCGCTCTCACAGCTCACTCTTACATGATCCATCCATTTGGGCGTTATCTTTCTGAAGCCAATAAAAAATAAATAAATTGTTAGTTTATGTTTAGGTGGCAGAAAACTGCTACCTAGCCTGTCTAGTGATATTCACCTTTTCTTTGAATCGTGTTTAATTTCTTGGTGATTCTTGATGGACCCATCAACATACTCACTCAGAGGACTTCCATGGACAGACAATGGGGAGTCGGGTAACAAAGTTGCAAATGCTTGACTCGTGGCCTGCAACTCGGAAGTTGATGCATTGCATCTTAGAATCAGTAGAGCCTTTTCATAAGAAGATAATATCCTTTGCACCAACATATCTCTTGAGTCAACTGAATTCGGCATCCTCAAGTCTTCCTTCAACTTCCTTGCTACCTCCATCCCCTGAATTAGCTCATTGATGAGTGTGTTCTGCTCCCAGCTCCATTCACTATCCATTTTGTTTTGTTTATAATAATAGTGACAATGGTAGCAGACGATGGTGGTTGATGTTTATCTCATGCCCAATAGTCTCACTTCTACTCTGGAAATGCACTTGGATCTAGAACCAATGCTTTCTTTTTCTGCAGTAGAGTTTGAAGCTGAAGAAATTTATGAGACCCGTGGAGTGGTGAAGTGTAGTAAACAATGACCATGGACGTAGCCAGAACGAGACTTGAAATTTCAAATGGGTATTTATGATTGATGGTTTGACGTGGAAGAGAGCGGGAGTGAGGCTAGAGGAGCAAAGCCTAACAAGGTAAGGTATGTTTTTTTGCTGAATGAAGGCTATGTATTTAAAGGGTGCCACTAAAAGGGGTTTGAGTTGGAAAAAAGTAGCAAAAGAAAGGAAGAGTATAGGAGAGTTGAAAGTCCAAGTTTGACTGAGAAAAGCGAGTTTTTCAGCTAAGACCAGTATTTGGTCAGTGGATAGTGTGGAGAATAAGAAATCTGACCGAGTCCACTTCATCTTGTGAAGTTATCATTGGTTAATGATAGTAGGTCCATGTTCCTGCAGTGAATGATTTAATTTAAATAGATGGAGTTATCAGGGGGACGGAGAATTTTCAAACCTCACTCCGCGTTGTCGCTTCCCTTGCCTTGCTTTGACATTATTTATATTACTTTTCATTACCCGAGAGAAAGAACTAAAGAACACTTGAGACTGCTTACGTGACATGGTTGTTGCCATCTACTCAATTTCTAGGTTGATTTTCGCTCAATGTTCAAAATAAAATAGATGCATACTTTGACACTCTTGCTTGTTGGCTTCATTCCATTTGCTCAATCATGAAACATCTTATTATTCACAAGTTAATTATTTTTATGATAATTTCTTAAATTCTCTCTATGTAGTGTATCAAGTTTGGATATCTTAAATAACTAGGGTTCAATTTTTTTATGAACCAAAAAAAGGTGATTGCATGCCAATGATAAATAATCAGATTTCTGACGTAAATTTAATTCCCAACAAGGAAAATAGATATTTCACACTTACCACGTAATATATATATATATATAGAGAGAGAGAGAGAGAGAGAGAGAGAGAGAGATTCACTTACGTATAATTTGCAATTTTTTTCCAAAATCCTTTTTAAAATATGGGAATTTGTCGAATCTAATAATGATAATAATAAATTGTGCAATTTTTCAGTAAAAATTACACATGTCAAATTTCAAATAAATGAAATATGCATTATTAAATAAAAGTTATTGAATTATTCGATACTCTTGAAATTATACGAAAATTTGTATATTTGACTTGTTAATGAAAATTCTTAAAATAAGTGGCCAGATTAATGAAATTTAATATTTATAAGAAGAATAGGGGTGTTAGCAACTCAGTCTCTAATAAAATCTTTGTTATTTTGTATTTGGTCTCTATTTGGTTAAAATGGAAAATGATGCATGCATGGTTTCTTAGAAACTTTGGTGCTATTTCTCACCCATGCCTTATTTGCTTTGTGTTGCTTAGAGTCAACATTTGAATGCTTCATTATTATTGGCTTTGAATAAAGGAGTTAGATATTTTAGCCACCAAAATAATCATTGCTTTCCCACTTTGGCTTTATTAGAGTCAGTATGTCCACAATTTAAAGTTGAACTCTTGATAATTGAACTGTTCAAAAATTTTCTCCAAAAGAAGCTCGTCTGTGACTTATCACAAATAATAAATAAATTATGTATATAAAATTTAATTTTAATATAGAAACAGGTCATTTTTTAAAATATTAAAATTAACCTTTTTTTTAACAATGTGTACTACGCAACACAACAAGGTCTCAGAGGCTAATCACAAACCCATCTCTTGGAATTTCTTTTTTGGGATTGTTGCTGTGTTGTTTCTCTTAATACAGTACTTGTCTTTATATGTTTTTGAGTATTCACTATGTATCCTTTCTCAAGGAAAAAGGAGTTAGTTGAGTGCGATGCAATGAGTATAATGTTAAATTTTTATGTATGAGTATAATACTAAACTTTTACATAATGTACATATATTAGATGCTATGCCCCTTTTCTATTTTTCTGATCTTCTGAACCAAATTAATTTCGTACATATTCGGTGGAGAAAAATGGCAAAAAAAATGGTGATGACATGATAGAATATGATAAAAAAATATTGCAATATTCTTACTCCCACCCAGAAAAAGAAGATTCCATGTTTGTTCATTGATGGAACAGTATCTATCTACCTCTAAATTGAAGCACAATTCAACAAAATCAATGCATGTCTTCCTCTATATAAGACCTACCTTACTCTCAAACATTGGAAAGCATCAGCAATACGCAAACCAAAAGAGCTTACCAACAAACACCATTCATTTCTAATGGCCTCCGCTCAGTGCCACAAAACCTGCGAACAAACCAACCAACAGAAAAACCACAACACCTCGTTTGGTCAGAAGGTTTCTGACTTCTTCAAAGGGCACCATAACCACCACTCCAATGAGGTCACCAAAACACACACCACCCAATGCTCTTCCCAAACCACAGTGCTTTCCAAGTCAGGGTACTCAGCCACCAAAACTGAAACACAATGCAGTTGCAGCAAAACACAGACCAACACAAAAGGCCAAGAGATAAATAAGAGGGGTCACAAAAAAGGTCCGGTGCAGGATATCAAGGATCGCTTTTCAGAGCATCACAACAAAAATGGAAACAGTGATAGCAGCAGTAGCAGTGACAGTGAGAGTGACAATGAAACATGCCACAAGAGGAAGGCAAGTAACCTTTATAATCCAATACAAAAAATATTATACTGGTTGAGTTCTATTGTGATGCACTCATTTCTGACACATTGGTGTGTATTATATGTACATGCAGGACTGAAATTAAACATGTGGTAGTAAAATAATAGTTAGATGATGCGTACGAGAATTCGCAACTCGTTCTCAGAGGGTCAACGTGTGTGGTGATTGCAGTCTGAGATAGCAGAGAAGAATCTAAATAAAAGTACTTAAAAATAAAGATCAATTATGTATTTGATGAAAATAAACGTGTGTACTTTGGTTATGGTGCAAGTCTGAGACTGAGAAATGTTAAAAATAAAACTGTTCGGTGTTAAAATCACTTCTTGCTTTATTTTTTATTTGTAATCCATGCATCACGTCCAACATTTAACACTAATCTCACTCTCATGATTCTATATATAAAGCATTGGTTGATGTGGGAGTATGATTTACTAATTGTATGTTGATTAACGAAATAGAAAAAAGTGCAGAGCAATAACACGGGGAGTAATGGAATAAAAAAAAAACCAGCATCTAGGTTGTAGGCTCCATCTCTATTGATTTAAAAAAAAAAATCTTTTAATTAAAATTGTATTATCTAATACAATTTTAGTTTTCACTGTCAAACTCGTCTTTGAAAATATGTAAAAATCGTGTTTTCAAGATTTAATCTATTCTATTTATGTAATTTTTTGGATTTCGACTCTATTACGTAATATCAAATTTTTTTAACATGTAAATACAACTTATTTATTATTAAAAAAAATAGTTTTGATATTTTAGATATATATATATATATATATATATATATATATATTAAAAATAAAGTTTTTATAGATAAATACCTTTATTTATGATTTTGCTATAAGGACCAAATGTAAGGACTGAACTTTGCATAAAAATAACTTATCCTTTTAAAACCAACAACATTTTTAGAGTACACCATATTTCATCGTGATTTTGTTTTATTTATGTTTTTTAATTCAAACACTGATTTTGTTTTATTTTCTATTCTTTTTTACAAAATTTGATTTTTAAATCATAAAAACTAATTTAACTTATAGAGAAAATTTTATTCTATTTTTTATATTTATTTTATTTTATTTTTAAAAGTATTTACAAAGTTTTTTCCAGAAACATGCTCAATATATCCACAAGAAATATTCAGTTTGTTGGGTAAAACCTCTCACAATCACCCGTTTTTTTAAGTCATTTATCAAAGCCTTAAACTTTGACAAGATACAAAATTAATAAAACTCAATTTATTGAGCTGCTTTATTTTCAATTATTTAAAATATTATGTTGATGATAATGATGATGGTAGAAATTATTATTATTATTTTTTTTTTACTGAAACTTGCATACACAATCCTAACACGTTGATGAATCATGCAAACAAATTTGTTATATATTTATTTTGAACACTCGTGGTACAAGTGTTCATATAAACATAGGATCTCCAAATAACATTTTAGATCTTAAGACGCTATATTATGACAGCATTACATTTTCACGCAGGCCTTTTTTCTTAAAAAAAAATTAACATAATTAACTTAAATTAATTGTGAATTGTTCAACTAATGATAATATGACCAGGATTTGATTCCTCGTTCACGTATATGAAAAATCATGTTATAAGATGGGATGTCATTAATTAAATAAATTTCAATGTTTTGAATAGTTCTTGATTTTTATCAAGAAATACCTTTAAATTCATCCAAATGTGCGACCAAATTAATTTTAGACATTTTACATTGCCATATGTCACTCTTAGAAAAAACAAAATAATCAAACCCATATAGTTAAATAACCAATCAGTTGTAAAAATATATAACGACTCATACATGAAATTTGTTAATCAGAGCTTGGGACAGCTTTTCAATTCAGCAATCGTAAAATCTCATATTTTTATTTAGAAGAAGATCAAGTAAATAAGAGGCTTAAATCAAAGTGTTGAGGTGCTTAAAACAACTCGTTTAATTGCTTTGAATCAATAATTGAGATTCTGATAAAACATATGGAAAACTTATCGAATCATCTTTTACTTATAAAATTGAAGGAAATTTGGCAAAGTTTATAATTTTCAATGTGGTAGATAAATGCATTTATAAACTACTTTTGTGATACCGAATACATAAAAGACGGAGAAAAAGAATGTAGAAAAATTTAATAGCCAAAATGCCATGAGTTGTTCACCAAAAACGACAATGCTACTGGCTTTTCTGTTCTTGAATTCTTGGTCCACAGATTGAGTGGGAACTTAATCAACATGTCTGCGATCTGTGGTGCTGCTAATGCCATGAAATTAGGTTCTTTCACTTATCTTATTTTTTGAGATGTTGTGGCAGAACGCAGAGAATAAGTTCTGTTTCTGTTTCATGAGAAAATGATAACCTACTTTACTTGAGACCATATTTCAAGAAAGAACAAATTAATTGTTATTTTATTTCTCCACTATAGAGGGCGGGGAGGAGCCTCACCCTCCTCTTGCCATGCCAATAAAAGGCCCTTAATACGCCACCATACAACTGCAAGAAAGCAAAACAAATCACATCTGAGCAACACAAACCATTGCAATGGCCTCTGCTCAGTGTGTGAAACCCAATACCACAGTTGAAGCTAGCCAACCAAAATGCCCACATAAACCAAACAATACTGCAAGTGAAGTTGGCCAACCAAAATGCCCACACAAATCCAATAATGCTGCAAGTGAAGTTAACCAGCCAAAATGCCCACACAAAACCAATAACAGTGCAAGTGAAGCTTGCCAACCCAAACCCAATAATACTGCAATTGAAGTTTGCCAACCCAAAAGCCAACACAGCTCGTTTGGCCAAAAATTATCTGAGATAACAAGCAAGGCTTTCAAAGGGCACCATGCTCGTCATGGAAGCAACCAAAATCAACTTCAATGCTACAGCCAAACTCAGGTTGAATCGCAAGGTCACAGTGGCAAAAAAACAGAGACTCACCACTATGGCCAAAGTCAGATCCAACAAGACAAAAAACATGGGGTCTCTAAAACCCAGATCACAGTTACCATGGTTCAAGCACAAATCACCCATACCGACGAGGACTTTTATCCCTATGGTACCACAACATCATGCTTTGGGGCTCATAGCAAGAAGAATGGAGAGCTCAACAACAATAAGAAGGATACGAACTTGTTCCGGAGGATTAAGAATGGCATGTCCCGCCATAGCAACAATGAAGGAGGCAAAAACAGCAGCAGCAGCAGCAGTGACAGTGAAAGTGATGATGAAAAGTGTAAAAAGTGTCCAAAGTCAAAGGTAAGTCACTTCAATACACATGAGTGCCTAAGTGTATCCTAAAAAAATATAACATCGAAAAAGAAAATATTTTATATGGAATGCATACATGTTGGTTAGAACAAGATTTTGTATTCATTGATGACTCTTGACTTCTCTGTCCTTTTATTGCGCCTGCAGAAATGATTAAACGAGAAGCTGCAAACAGGACGCAACTAAACAAAGTTTGTTCAAGGAAAGAAATAACATCTTTACAAATAATAAGTGTGTTTATGGTTTAACGATACTATTCTCGTACCCAATTAGTTTAAAGAAATAAATTCCAAGGTCACTTGGTTGCGTGTATCTTATGATAAATAATATGTTACAGTTTGCTTGTTTTTTCTGGTTGTTCAGCACAGGACCTAACAGTACCTTCGTTACCTAGTCTGTGTTTGGAATCATGTTCGTAAAATTGTGAGTAAACTTAATTTTGCAAATTTGCCTTTAGTTAAGAGCGTGTTTAAGTGAACTAGTTCACGTGTAAGAAAATTTACGTTATAAGTGACTTTCATGCAATGAATGCTTATAATGTTGATAAAAATAACTTTTATGTATAATCTTTAATATGGGTGGATAAATATCTTTGATATTTTATCAAAGCCGCAATCATCAGCTGGAGTTTTCTTCACCGCAAAACATCAGTTAGACTATAGAAACATGGTTTTAAATTTTTCATGCAAAATCAATATTGCTCAAAATGGTTTGGATGAGCATTAGCAAAATCAATGTTGAATGGAATTATTAAGTGAAGTAATTCAAGTTTAAATGTTGTCATTCCTGAGAACAAGCTTGCTATAAAATGTAGTTTACAGTTTTCATCCTAATGCAAAAGATACTTTTAATAACTTCTAGTCAAACTGTCAAACCAAGGTTGAGGCAAAAATCAATTTCTCCAACAGTACTCAAACATTTATGTATTATCAAAATCATTTTTTATCGGAGTCAATCATATGATTGGTCCAAACTCCAAAGAACAGCTATTGGCAAGAAACGTGATTCTCCGAAATGAAAACGCCCACCCAAACATGCGATAACACAGGTATATTAGATTGCATTTAGTTAAACTAACAGTCATCATAGGTTAATCAATTCCAGCAGCCCGGAATTGACATATGTATTCTGCTTACAAGAGAAAAAGAAAAAGGCCAAATTCCCCAAAATATAATTACCGCCCATCTACATGAATAGGACCTAGATTACTACCACCCAAGATACAACAATCCATATGTACAAACCTTGATATAGTCCGAGAGTAATAAACATAGGAGCCTTCTTCATCCGTCAAGAGACCTGGAAATGAAAGCAGCAATGGCCTGCACAGCAGCATCTTCAGATTCATCTTGGGAGGAATTGTTTGCTTGTAGGTGCTTCTTACCAATTTTGAAAGAGTGGTCACCACCATCAATGACATGCAGCTCATTGGGTGCTTTCATCTTCTTCCGAGTAGCTTCCAACTTTTCAAGTGGACAGAGAACATCCTTGCTTCCCTGCGTAAGACGCAAACCATAAACGGACACACAAGGCTAGAATTAGGATAACATATACAAATTCTGCACAAGTACAAATTACCCATACTGATAGAATATGAAAATTTTGACAATTCATTAATACATTAAGAATCTATATACACAACTTTCTCAATAAACACCTATAGACAAAAATAAGAAAAAATGAAATGAACTTCCCTATACGTTAAAATTAATATATGCTCAAGTTAATTTATAAAAACTCCCTCACATAACTTTTCTAATTTTTTATTTTTAACTTGTGCAATAGTTAATTTTAACTCATGGAGAACCCCATTTCATTTATTTTTCTTATTCTTCTGTCCTATAAATGCTTATAGAATAAATTGTCCAAATATATACTATGAGGATGGAACTGGAGAATGTTGACTATAAGGCTATACTACACAACAATGATTAGTGACAAACTAAAAAAGAAAACACTACCTGTACAAACATTGTTGGAATTGTTAGCTGCAACAATGTTTCATCTCTAACCGCACCATTGATTCCCTGCAATGTTGGCAACTAACTAATGTGATTCTAAGTTACGTTATTTAAAATCGGTACTTAAAGTTCTATGGCATAACTGTTTTACCAAAACACCGACAAAAAACAAATGCACCACCTATAATGTCTCAAATGGGGCATGCCAACAATTGGTCATATACAAAACTGAGTATCAAAAGTGCAAATGATACAGCAAGCCAGAAAGGAAGGAAAAGGAAAATTTTCAAAGGAATAGTATAGTAAAGATTATTGGATTCAGAGCTCCACATCACATGCTCCATGGAGGAAATATCATCAACTAAGTGGTCAAATTAATTTAAGATGCCTAGCGTAAGTCCAAAATGACATAAGAAGCAAAATGCTCAATAACGGGGCATATTTAAAAGACTAGAGATTCATGACTAAACAGGGATAAGCAAAAACCATACGCTATCAGTTTAAACTGTAGTGATAAGATTGGCATGAAATCAAAGACGAGAACATCAAACCTTTAACGGGTAACCCAAGCATACTACAGCAGAAACATTAATGTCTTCCATGCTTGCCACCATGCAACCGACTCTACAACCAAAAAAACACAAGATCCATGATGTCAGAAATAACTTGACACCAACCATCCTAATTGGGACATCCTCAGCCAAACGTATCTCCAACATGTAAATGATATGTCAAAACATTTTTACTGAATCTTTTAGATGATCGCTTATGATATATCCACTTTTCTAGTTTCCATATTTCCTAATATGCATCATTGTTTAGTTAGGATTGTGAATGTTAGTGCTAGATTTTACGAACAACATCGTCGCATTGCAGCACATTACAACACTCAAGCAAATTTTATCCAACGTCTTCATTATCTTTTTCATCTTCTTTTATTCCTAAAATCGATAATTCCAACATGTGCATTAAAAAAAAACTGTAGAACCTACCTTGAACCCATTGATTTGCCTGCAAGTATCACTGGATGACCAGGGTACTTAGTAGCAGTTTCCTTGACGATATTTGAGTGAAACTCCACCAGTTTTTCAGCCTTGGGAGGAGCCCTCTTTTTTCCAGACATGTCTAGCAAATGTCAAACACATTAAATTCAGTTCAGAGTTAAAACAACACAATTATCAGGAGGTTCACTCCACTAGTGGCCACTCAAAGGCACAATCTTATATACAGAGTTCGAAATCTCAACAACGTTGTGAGCAGTGATAATATGTACTAATTTTATGCTTTAGGTTTAAGCGCCTATTAATGCCATAGAAAAAATGGAAAGCTGAAGAAACAAACTCACAAGGATAGTCAAAAGTGACAACATCAACAGCTTGCAGTGCCTCTTTTAACATATTCTTCCATCTATCACAGAAAAAGAGACACATCTTTAACAATAAAACCTATGATAATATTTAACCCATTTTTTAATTTTAAAAGTGTAACCTTTGCATCCAATCAGAAGAGGAAGGAGCACCAGCACCGTGAGCGAAGATCACCACCGGTGACAACGTCGACGCTTCACTCTCGCCGTCATTGCTCTGACGACGGCGTTTTGCAGGAGGTAACAAATCCATGCCTTGGGAAGAGAGAAATCCCCCAGATAATCAAAACCACTTGTGTTGTGTAATTGTAACCCTATCCCGCCAAATTTCCCAGCCTGCACCATTAAATACTAATTTTCGCGCCAAATGTAGATTGCAGTGCACACCTTCGGCGTCTTTACAAAGTTTTATTTAAAATGTTTTTTTTTAATAATTTAAATAATATCAAAGATAAATTAAAATAAAATATGTACTAAAAAATATATGAAATGACCGGTAAATTGTCAGATTTATTCAAATTTATTATAAAATATTAATATCCAGAGTTTTAAAATATATTAAAATTAATAATTATTATAATTGACGATTTGCAGAAATCCGTGATAATAGACTATTATTTTTTTAAACTTGGAAAGTATATCCATATATAGGCATAGTTCTGATAGATTAAAATATAAACAATTTCCAATTCAATTATTTAAAAAAAAAAAAAAAAGGCTTGTGGTATTCATAGTCTAAAATTGAGTAATTTGTTACCACTAATGCTAATTGTATGAACAAAAATAATTAATAATTGATAAAAATCATTATTTTTTTATAATACAAAGACTAAATTAGTTTATGTGTTTCTAATTTTAAAGATTAATTTAGTATTCATCCATAATTAGTATTATTTTTATAAATAATAGGTCCATAAATTAGTCTTATTTGAAAGGCAAGTACTTAATAACTTGTTAATTTCAAAATTACATGTAATTGATAAATAAGTGTTTTCTCCTTTAATTAAATTCAAACACCCACCTTCATCGGGTGACTTTGAAACACAGAAGAATTTGATCCTTTCCTTTTTCACCTTCAAACACGATTCGAAGTAGATAATTTAACCACATTCATTCATTTAAAAATTAAGAAACTAATTTTAGCTTAAAAATTAAAGCGATTCAATTTTATAGCCTATAATTACGAAGAAAGTTATCGACATGTTTAAAAGTGGTTATTATTGGCCGCATCAATAATTTTATAATTATATTCTAAACTTAAACATGTCATATTTATAAGTTTTATGTTATCATGTGTTAAGAGAATAAATAAATAAATAATAAAAAATTAAATGATAAATGGAGTAAAATAAAAATATATTTTTATAATTATTATTATTTGATGGAAATAATAGATTTAAAAAAAAATTTATTAATGTAAAAATAAATTATCTTTCGTGTCTTAAATGTACATTCTTTTATTTATTTTTTTCATTAAGAACGAAAAAGAAAAATTAAGAAAACGAAATGTTAATTTTATTTAATTCTTTTATTTATCTCTAAATCCTATATCTAAACTTATATTATGAAAAAATATATACATATTATTTTTTTCCTTTAACATAACTGAGAATTATAAAAAAATATTTTATATAATTTATTGAAATAAATTATGATTTCCATGTGATATTAGAGTTTGATTCGTAAAATGGTGTGATTCCCGTTTAGAATCGGAGAATTACATGAATTTTATTTTAATTTAAAATCGATACGTATAATTTTGATGGGCATAATTGCTTTTGATATGAAAAATATTTTCCTGTGACCGCATAAATATATCGATTTGAATTCATAAGTGAGATCTTTGTAATAATAGAGAGATCTATTATATTATTCTGCAATTGAAGAGGTTGATGGGTCAGGAAACATCCGTCGTTTGGCTGGACGTTTAAAAAATAAAAAAATAAAAAACAAATCTGAAGCGCGTTGCGCGATAGCTGCATATAGCCTATGTGCGTGACTGCGTGCCTCATTTATTATTCTGTTTATTTTATCGCTTGTGTATTGTTTCGGGTATTTATTAAATGTAGGGATTGAACTAATTAGTATTATTAGATAACTCAAAGATAAATTCTAATCTTATTATTTGAATGTCATTAAATTCAAAATTAAATATATTTTATCATTATTTAGAAATCGAGTTCAAGGAAGTTTATATATTATTTTCTTTTCATCCATCAAAACATATTTTAAAGATAAAATAATAATAATGAAGTGTTTTATAACACACAATATCTTAAATATAGGAGATTCTAACGATTTTATCCGTTGCGCTCACCAGTCTCATATTACTTACGAGTTGAGACTAAGATAGTTTATATACATCTGTCTCTCTTAACCTACTAAGGTACATTTTAAGAATAAAATCGTGAAGGATAAGAGCTCAAAAACATATAATATCTCATATATGGAACTGACTCTAACGATATTATCATAAGAGACATAAAGTCCGAACACTCTCATTTCTAAATTAAATATTATATTAATAATATTTAAAATGAAAATGCTATATAAGATTAATAGCAATAAAAGATACCTATTTATTTGAAATTAAGTGTATGATAATTTTTCTTAAGTTACCAAAGTGATTAAAATATTAAAATTATTTAACTTTAAATTAATGATGATCTTATTCCAATTACCATAGAGTGGATGCTAAAATATGAATAATTGAGTCATGGATTAATTGAAGTTCATTATTATAAAACATTTATGGATTAACCTTATTGTTTTAGTACGAGTCTCATATCACTTAGGAGTCAAGGTCAGGGATAGTTTATATATATCCTCATCTCTCAATTCATCAAGACATATTTTAAAGACAAAATCGTGATGAACAAGAGCTTTTAAAGCGGATAATACCTTATACATAAAAATTGATCCTAATGATATTATTATAGCAAACATGACATCGAAATACTCTCATATTTAAACGGAACACTTATTAATGAGCATAATTGTAGACAACTTTATATGCATCATTAGTTTTATTTATATACCCAAAGGTAGTAGATGATTCTAATTGGTGTTTATTTTAATTATTATTAATATTATAATATTATTAACATCATTATGTTTATGTATTAGTGTATCACCCAAAAGAGAATATTAGTATGCATAGAATGTTTTTTTTTTGTTTGAATTTGTATTGTGTGTTTAATTTATGACTTAAAGTATTAATGTTTAGGCATGTGTTAATCACTGTTCATGTATCTTTACATTTACTATGTCTGTTCCAGTCTTTAATAGGTTAAATTTCCTTGATTGGGGTGAACAAGTCTAATTTCACATAGGTGTGTTAGATTTTGATTTGACTTATCAAGTTGAGAAACTCGTTACTATTACTAATGCTAGTAGTATTGAAGAGAAAGTTCATTATAAGACTTGGAAAAAGTCAAATAAACTTAGCCTAATGTTTATGCAGATGAGCATAACAAGTAACATTAAGTTTGTTCTTTCCAAAATCACATGTAAAATCATAGTTGTTTTCTATAAATTACGTTGGAAAGAGAAGATGTGTATATTTCTCCGTAGTACTCTCTCCAAATTATTGAGACAAGATGAGAACAAGATTCCGCTACCTTGACTTCTCGTTCTACATTCTTGATGAAAAATTAGAGAGCATAAGTTTAGGTAAGAAAGGGCTTGTTTTTTTACGTTAGTTGATATTAACCTCTTTTAAAGATGTTATTCTCATCAAATAACACTTATTATCAGAAATTGTTCATATTTTACTCATTTACCATTTAACCTTTTATTATTTATTTATTTATTTATTTCTCTCAAAAGTCACATGTTTATCACATGAGACACAAAATTTACATTTTCCACTTAGCTAATATGACATTGCATACATTATAAATAAATAAAATAACATAATGTGTATTAAATGACTAAACCATTATTTAAATTAGGCTCATAAATGGTTCAATATAATGTTTTTATTCAAAATGAAACCTATTTATATTACTCTAATACAATTATACATACAATCATAGAGGTCACACAATAAGAAACATATCATAATTGAGCTCAAAATGTCAATTGTATAATACATAATAAGCATAATATTCAACAATCATTTCCAATAATAACACTCATCTTTTCAACATGTACAATAAATGTTTTGGGCATTAATCCTTTTGTTAAAAGGTCAATTATCATATGATTTATGCTAATACATTCTATTGATATTTTTTGTTTTCAAACATCCCCTTCACGACAAAGTACTTTAACTACATATGTTTAACACCTTTAGAGTACTTGTTGTTTTTAGAGAAAAATACTTCTGCAAAATCATCATACATTTTCAGCTACCTAACAATACTATTAACATTTTCAAGTCTTGAAATAAAGTTTCGCAACCAATTAATCTGAATTATAGCCTCAATATATGCTAAAAATTCAAATATATCGTAGATGCAGCAATAACGAATTATTTTGCACTCTTCCACAATATTTCTCTTTTGACTAAAACAAATATATAGTCAAGAGTGAATTTTATTGTATCCAAACATCCAAAAAAATTAGAGTTTGAATATCTAATCACCTTAAAATGATCAAACTCCTATAAGTAAGCAATGATCATTTGTTCCCTATAAGTATCCCAAAGCTTTCTTTGTAGCTTTCCAATGTTCCATTCTCGAATTACTTTGATATCTTCCTAACATTCTGACTACAAAACTTAGATCTGGTCGAGTATAAGTTTGAGCATACATAATACTTTTAAAAACATATGCATATGGAATTACTTCCATTTGTTTCCATTCCAAATCATTCTTAGAACATTGAGCAAAACTAAATCTCTCTCCTTTCTAAATTGGAATAGGTGATGCTGAACACTTTTCCATTATGAACCTCTTTAATACTTTATTGATATATGTTTTCAGGGATAGACATAACATTCCTTTTGATCTATTCCAAATATCACATAACTTGTCTCACCCATATCTTTTATTTCAAAGTTATTAGAGAGAAACTTCTTATTCTCATAAAAAATACTAAAATCATTAGTTGCAAGCAATATATCATCAACATATAGAATTAGAAATATAATCTTACTCTCACTAACATTTAGATATATACACCAAACAATGATATTTTCCTTAAACCCAAAGAAAACTATGGTATCATTAAATTTCAAATACCATTGGAGAGAAGTTTATTGAAGCCCATATATTGAATTCTTTAATTTGCACATCATGTGTTTCTTTC